GGAAGGATGAGTCAACCTTGAGCCTGTCAGGATTGAACTGCTGTCAGTCGGCAGAATCAGCCTGCAATACTGCACTCTAACCACTGCGCCATCAAGTGCGGCAAAGGCTATTTGGTTATCTCAGCAAATGACTCTGGACTGCCCACAATAGTGTGCCTTTCTGAGCAGGTTGGCTGTAGTGATGGTCAACTAGACTTTATGTATCACCCATCTGGCTATTCCCCTACGCTATATATGTGGCTCTCCTTACAGAGTGTTAGGAAGGAAGGAAGGTAGGATGGAGGAATGAAAGAAGAAAGAAAGAAAGAAAGAAAGAAAGAAAGAAAGAAAGAAAGAAAAAAAAAAGAAAGAAAAAGACAGGAAGGAAGGAAGGAAAGCAATGAAGGAAGGAAGGAAGGAAGGAAGGAAGGAAGGAAAGAAAAAGACAGGAAGGAAGGAAGGGAAGGAAAGAAAGAAAAAGACAGGAAGGAAGGAAAGAAAGAGAGAGAGAAAGAAAGAAAAAAGAGGAAGGAAGGAAGGAAAGAAAGAAAGAGACAGGAAGGAAGAAAAGAAGGAAGGAAAGAAAGAAAGAGACAGGAAGGAAGGAAGGAAAGAAAGAAAGAGAGAGAGAGAAAGAAAGAGGAAAGAAAGAAAGAAAGAAAGACAGAAAGGAAGAAAAGCAAAGAAGGAAGAAAGGAAAGAAAGAAAGAGACAGGAAGGAAGGAAGGAAGGAAGGAAGCAAGCAAGGAAGGAAGGAAAGAAAGAAAGAAAGAGAGAGAGAGAGAAAGAAAGAAAGAGGAAGGAAAGAAAGAAAGAAAGAGACAGGAAGGAAGAAAAGCAAGGAAGGAAGGAAGGAAAAAGAAAGAGACAGGAAGGAAGGAAGGAAGGAAAGAAAGAAAGAAAAAGAGACAGGAAGAAAGGAAGGAAGGAAGGAAAGAAAGAGACAGGAAGGAAAAAAGCAAGCAAACAAGCAAGGAAGGAAGGAAGGAAGGAAGGAAAGAAAGGTCCAATCAGGAGATGCCAGAGGCCCACCTCCAATGGTGCTTGAACAATAACGAGGGCACAATTGCCCCTTCGCTCCTCTTCTGACGGCACCCGGAGCACGACAGGCTTGGCCGTCCCCGTCTCATGAACAGATCACGCACCGGGCACAAAGGCAGCCACAGATGGTGCCAACAGCCAGGCGGCTCCTTCCCACCCAGCGCAGCCGAGCAGCTGTGTTTTCCCTCTTTTCCAGCCTCTATTAAGCGGGAATGCAGATGCACAGATGGAGCCCTTCATCTCCACTTTCCGCCGGAGTTTAAGGATTGGATCTGGGCCCACTGGCCGGGCTGAGTGGCTTTTCTCCTGCAGAGCGAAGCGTTTGGAAGGCAACCACGTTCCTCCCCCCCCCAGCTCTTCCTCCTTTTGTTGGGGGTATTATGGGGCATCTTTCCTGCTCCCCACCAGGATCCTCGCTCCAGCCACCTAGAACTCATCTGACAAAAACGATTTAAGAGCTCAAATGATAGAGTAGTTTATCTCTTAAAGAATAACAGAATGCCAGAGTTGGAAGGGACCACAGTCCTTCCTAGTCTTCTAGTCCAACCCACTAATCAAGCCATTTTGGACAAGTGGTTGTCCAGTCTCTTCTTAAAAACCTCCAGTGATGGAGCACCCACAACTTTTGGAGGCAAGTTGTTCCTCTGGTTAATTGTTCTCGCTATTTGGAAATTCCTCCTTAGTTCTCCCCTTGATTAGTTTCCATCCGTTGCTTCTTGTCCTACTTTCAGGCGCTTTGGAGAATAGCTTGACTCCCTCTTCTTTGGGGCCACCCCTGAGATATTGGAACACTGCTATCACGTCCCCCCTCGTCCTCCTCTTCATTAAACTAGACATGCCCAATTCCAGCAACCTTTCTTCATATGTTTTAGCCTCCAGTCCCCTGATCATCTTTTTTACTCTTCTCTGCACTCTTTCTCAACATTATTATTATTATTTTTTTACATCGTGGTGACCAAAACTTGTTGCAGTATTCCAAGTGTGGTCTTAACAAGGTGTTATAAAGTGGTGCTAACACTTTGTGCGATCTTGATTCTGTCTCTCTGTTAATGGAGTCTAGGACTGCGTCAGCTTTTGAGCATCTGATTTGATCAAATGCTCCACGGCATTTGGAGATGTGGGAAGCTCATGGGATTTGGGATCACCTTCTCCTTTCCGTCTTCCTCTTTTGTTCTGCACAGGTAGTCCTTGACTTACAACTCTTCACTTAGTAATAATAATAGTAGAATAGAACTGGAAGGGACCTTGGAGGTCTTCTAGTCCAGCCCCTCGCTTAAACAGGAGAGCCTATACCATCTCAGACAAGTGATTGTCTAGCCTCTTTTTAAAAATCTACAGTGATGGAGCGCCCAGGATTTCTGAAGGCAAGCTGTTCCACTGGAAGGAAGGAAGGAAGGAAGGAAGGAAGGAAGGAAGGAAGGAAAAAAGCAAGCAAGCAAGGAAGGAAGGAAGGAAAGAAAGAAAGAAAGAAAGAGAGAGAGAGAGAGAGAGAGAGAAAGAAAGAAAGAAAGAAAGAAAGAGACAGGAAGGAAGAAAAGCAAGGAAGGAAGGAAGGAAAAAGAAAGAGACAGGAAGGAAGGAAGGAAGGAAAGAAAGAAAGAAAGAAAAAGAGACAGGAAGAAAGGAAGGAAGGAAGGAAAGAAAGAGACAGGAAGGAAAAAAGCAAGCAAACAAGCAAGGAAGGAAGGAAGGAAGGAAGGAAGGAAAGAAAGGTCCAATCAGGAGATGCCAGAGGCCCACCTCCAATGGTGCTTGAACAATAACGAGGGCACAATTGCCCCTTCGCTCCTCTTCTGACGGCACCCGGAGCACAACAGGCTTGGCTGTCCCCGTCTCATGAACAGATCACGCACCGGGCACAAAGGCAGCCACAGATGGTGCCAACAGCCAGGCGGCTCCTT